GAAGATGTAGTGGAAGTATCACAGCCTCCACACTAATTGGCCAACTTTCAGGGCAACTGGCTTACACTGCTCTGGCTTGTTGGAGCATGTGTGTCCTCTGAAGGTCATGGACACAGTGCTGAAAACCTGACACTACTGGAGGGGTAGAGGGCAACAGTTGTAGGTGTGCAAGAAGCATGGTCAAGACTATTTCAGTAGGAGTGTGGGAAGAGAGGGCATATGTCGCAGAAACAAAGCTCTTTAGACTCCATTTCTCTGGAAGAAACCTGTTCTAAAATGGCAGGGTCTGGTTTTAGAAGGTGGCTAATGTTTGGTGTATTGTTTGAGTGTATAGTCAGGCTACTTGCAGAGCAGTCACATATAAAATGTTGTCTCTAAACACTTAAGACATCTCTGTCTAGTTCAGTTTTATGGCATATGGAATCTTCTTAAACCCAGACATGCAGTTATGGGAACTTACAGGATTAGATAAAGGAGAAGAGAATTACGGATCACAAGTAGAAATCAAGCATTGTCCCTTCATGAGAACATACTACAGATATTTTGTAAAAACAGTATTTTGATGCTAGAAATTGCTTGCCCTGCTGTGACAGATGGTCTTTCAACTTTCAGGTATTTAGAGCAGTACATGGTGCACCAGGCAGCTGTTAATGCAGCTCAGTCCAGAACAAAAAAACGTGCAGCCACACACTGCTTGAAGTATTAACAACTAGAAACTTAAATAGGTCTTGAATTAAGATTTTTTTTTTTCTGATTAATCTCTGGTTGTTTTTTTTAAGGTGTGCAAACAGATTTGGCTAGGCCTATTTGATGATAGATCATCAGCAATTCCAGACTTCAGGGATCCACAGAAAGTAAAGGAGTTTCTCCAGGAAAAATATGAAAAGAAAAGATGGTAAGAGCTTCACTATTATAAAGTTTACCTCTGAAGTGAAGACAGACTGTTATCCTCATGTTCTTGTGTGTACTTCCTTTCCTGTGTGCCCTTTGGGCTACATGCACATCTCTGTAAAGTGAAATGATCTCTGGACTTTCTTCAGAGCTCCTACAGGAAGCAGAGGTGTGCAGTTCATATTGAACTGAAATGGCTTGAGGGGATGTCACCAACAGTGTGAAGTAAGGGGGTTTGCAGGCTCTTATTAAGAGGTGGAAGATGTGTGGCTTGTATTAAATAAATGTTATAAAGTATTCATGACTTGCAATTCTAGTCCATTTTGGAAAAATGTGTGGCGTATTTAAGTAATAGGTGTTTTGCTAATGACTGAATTTATTTTAGGATCAATGGTTAAAATAGCAAAGCTGAGATCTACCAGTTCTCACACTTGGAGCCTTATGGTTGTTGAGCAGAACTTTTTCTGTTAAACTTCTAAAAACCACTGGTCTTTTTGAATGTAGGTATGTTCCTCCAGAACAAGCAAAGGTGGTGGCATCAGTCCATGCATCCATATCGGGGTCTTCTGCTAGTAGTACAAGCAGTACACCCGAGGTGAAACCTCTCAAATCTCTCTTGGGAGAAGCTGCACCTGCACTGCACTTAAACAAGGGCACACCCAGCCAAGTGAGTAGTGAAAGCTGGAGAGCACAGAGCTTGTCAGCAGTAGATCTTGCCTTTTAGTGGCATGAGAGTTCTTGCAGTAGCAACAGTTACAGTTGTCTTTAGTGATTATGTTCTGTATTTTGTGTTTTGTTAAATATACATGTGTTTGCAGATAGGGTTCTAAATGAAGCCTGTTTTCATTGACCAAATGTGTTTATTTTCAGTAAGTAGAATTTTCCAATGTGATTGACAAGTCTGTTTTGCTTCAGTATCTCTGAGGGTTGAACCTAATGTATATTTTCATGTTTATTTGAACACAATAAAATGGGTGATTAAGAGTGAGTCTAGGGGGTGAAAATTGTGCACGTTCATTATTAACTCACTATGCATTCTGTAACTGTCCGGTGGCTTTCAGGAGTGTCTGTGTGCTGTTCTGTAAAGCCAAACAATGCTGTGTACTTAGATTTTTGGAGGGAAGACAATTATTTGAGAAGCGGTTTTAACTTTAGGATGAAGGCCACTCTTGAGTGGACCTCTTAAGACTGAAGCAGTAGAAATTCACAGCTTGCAGCTGTGCTATGAAATTCTTCAGTGTCTGTCTCCTTATACTGAGTTCTGAAGATTTTTTTCAGAACGCAGTGAATAACAATTTTCCAGCTTGTAAAATTAAGTGGTTTTGCTTGTATTTGTACTGTATCTGTAGTTTTATATACATAAATTTGAAGTTGTTTATGTGCTGCTACTTATTCTTCTAGGTCTTATTAATCCATGAAAATCTGCAGAGTTCCTTTAAAAGCCACCATAGTAGCATAAATAGATTGTCTTCCTCATACTATAGGAGGAGTGTCTGTGCTGTACATGACATCTTAAACTCCAGGAATAAATGGTGTGTTGAGGAAACAGGCTTAGTCTATCCTTCCAGTATTTTGCAGAAGTCAGTTAGGTAAAATATTGTCTGTTTTGTATTAGCTAATTGAAATGTTGTTTGCAGTCTCCTGTTGTAGTTCGTTCTCAAGGACAGCAGCAACAAGAAAAGAAACAATTTGACCTCCTCAGTGACCTTGGCTCGGATATTTTTGCTGCTGCTCCTCCTCAGTCAACTGCAACAGCAAATTTTGCTAACTTTGCACACTTCAACAGTCACACAGGTAAGTATCCTCAGCAGTGTATCCCTTTCAAATATATAAATGCTGTTTTAATTTTTGCTGTCTGTGGTTGAAACTTCTTCAGGAGGTACTTGTAACTTCTGTACCTTTGAGAATGTTGTATTACTCAAGATTCCTTCTGATTTTTATAAAGAAAGGTTTAAGACATAAAGGCTGATCATTCTGCTTTCTGAAGTGGGAGTTGCTATAGCTATTTTCTATGTTATGGATGATTAGACTGTTTCTGCCTACTACCAGAACTTGAAATTCTTTGGGGGAGTGAGAGGATGAGTAACAGAACATGGGGAGAAGCTGATATTCAACCTTCAGTTTTCTTTCTGAAAATTATTAGGAAGAGCATTCATGGAAATAAAGCTGGTGTAGAGACTTTAAGGGAGTTCACATGCATTGATAATACCTGTCAATTTGTTCAAAGAACAACAAAGGCTTCCTCAGGTTAAGGAATGTTCTCTTTTGTGTGTCTGTTTGAAAGCTGAATACTATCCATGTGGGTAGTATTCTGTAGTTCCAGGAAGAATAAACAAGCTTTGAGCATATGTCTTGACTGAGGATGGGGGTAGGCCTTGAATTCTTAAACAATGACTTCAGTGAAATATACTGAGCCCTTAGAGCTTATTTTCAGTGAAAGATGTTGAGCCATAGAGGTCTATCCTAAAGAAAAAGTTGGTTTAGTGGTTGCTGAAGTATGTTATTGCTAACTTGAATCATAATTGTGGGAAAGTACTTTTGCCTGCCTGGTTGAATGGGCTTTTTTTCTGAGAGAAACTGTGATGCTGCTAAACCAACACAAATAAGAAATATTTCTTGCAAATCAGCCCTGAGAAGTGTTGGCTTAAGGCACAGAGAGGGAATGCAGCGAAGTAGCAAGGCTTTCTCACAGTTAGCTTTCAAAGAAAAATGTTGAGAAATAATTGATTGAATTCACTAAAACGGAAAAAGAACTGCCATTGCAGTGTGTTTGTAAGAAGATATTTAACATAGGATTTAATGTTGTCTTTTTGGAGGTATATTTAACTGAGAGAACTTTTTGCTGACTGGCCAATGTTTCTACAGCATTACTTGAAGAGGCTGCAGATATTTAATTCTTTCTAATAACTTACTTTTTCCAAAATTGTTGCTGAATCATTATATACACTTAATTACTCTTTGTGAGCTTCAGAAGGTGAAAAATCCACTAAAGCAATGTTTCAGTACTGTATTCAGAATCTAGGTAAAATTCAGCTGCATCTCTGCTGGGTAGTTTTGAATAAAAAATAAAAAGCACTATGAATGCTCCAGAGTAAATATCTTATGGAAGAGTCTGTTTAATTTCTTGTTGAAATAAGTACTGACATCAGTAAGCCAGCTTTGGCAAAAATGAGTTTTAAATGCTCATTTAAGGAGCTGTATAAACATGTAGTTCTTGTTAATAAACACTCCCTACAGCAGAGGATGGAAGAACTTGCACTTAGTCCAGCACTACTTTCTCAGAGTTTATGGTTGGGTATTCTTGTTTTAGGGTTTGGTTTTAGCTATGCCTACACGGGATGGACTCTTCTTCTTGCCTTCACATATGCTTTGGCTAACAAAAGAAACTACTCAAGAGCACCAGCAAGCTTAGTCTTCTGGCAGAAGTTACTGTTTCTGTCATAAAGGCACAACTGAGTGCAGCAGCTGGTAGGAAAATATTAACTTGTGCTGTGATCAGTAAAGTTTAGTTGTAAAGCTTGAAAATCACGCACTACGTGCAACTTCTGATACATTGCTTTTTTGAGTTTTCTGATAGTCTAAGCTGGCTCAGGATATTGCAGGTTGAAGGGGAAACGTAGTGACCTTATGTTTACTGTCTGTGTTTAATTTACGAAGTTCCGTAACTTCTGTGAAACGTTGACTTTTTGAAGGGGACAGTAGGCCACTATGTTGTTGTTAACATACTCGTAATAGCAATAAAGATAGAATTAAGCATGTAGACTTTCTACAACTAATGGAATAGAAGACTGGAACAAAGATTTTCAGAAAGGCACAGCACAACTTTGTCCTGGGTAACAAGGGAGAAGGTGATTTACCCACAAGTAGTAAAATAGTGCTACATAGTTGCTGCCTTGTATAGAATTATTTTTAATTTTGTAGTTTAATACAGGTGGGTTTTAGTTGAGGGTTTTTATTTTCCAGTGTTTTGTGCCTTTATACCACAGTAGGTGGTGCAGACCTCACAGGAGCAGCTCTGCAGAGAAGGCAGGGGCAGCTTGCAGAGCTGTTGTGGGTGCTGTTGTACCTGAGTGAGTGTCAGTTAGCTGGTGTTGGCACCTTGTTCTTAGGGTTGTTCTTGGGTTTCTGCCTGGAGGACTGAATTTTGGAATTGCCAGTCCATCCCTAAAAATATAATTGACGTATTTTTCAGGTACAGGAAAACACAAGTCTTGCCTGCTCCTTACCTTTGTGCCACATTGCATGGGTTTAAACTTCACCGCATAAAATAAAGCAAGATAATATCTGAGTACTCTGGAGGAGAGTCTTTATAGCTCTACTGTTTTAACACAGGCCCACTTACAAATCATATTTGGCTGCAGGTGGATACCTGCTAGATGTGCCTCTGTGGGCTGCAGGAGGACAGACTGGCTCACCAGGAAAATATCTGCTCCAGTGCCTGGAGCACCTCTGCCCCCTCCCTTTTCACTGACCTTGGAAGAGTTGTCTTGCTGATGTATTCTTCCTCTTCTGCACACTGCACAGCTGCTGCACAGTGGTTTTTACCCTTCCTAAAATACATTACCACATAGGTGCCACCAGCTTTGCTGATGGGCTCGGCCTTGGACAGCACCAGGTCTGTTTTGCAGCTGGCTGAACCTTGCTGTCAGAAATGGGGGCAGCTGCCACCCCTGCAGCCCTCTGCCACCCAGGCTGTGCCATGTGAATCCAGTATGCAAGCACAGAGTGGTATTGAGTGCAGTCAAACCTCACCCTCTCTCCCACTGTCCCCTGGGAAAGGAAGTGCTTCCAATTTCATCTATATTAGCAGCATTGTGGAATACAGTAGTTAATATGAAAATGTCCTTTTTAGTTGATAAATCTGTAGTAGATGCTTTTTAAGTAGAAACAAAATGAAATAATGCAGCTTCTTGTTAGCATTATCTGACTATTAAATAACACTTAACAGTCAGCATAATTTGTTTTGTATATACGTTACGTGCAAAATCCCTCCAGACTAAAATGCTGACCCCCAAAATAATGCCTTGCAGCTGTTGTAGAAGCTGTTCGGAGGGCTTTCTTTAGATAGGAACTCGTTACCTGTACAGACAGGCTTGTTTTGCATTTCAGTAAAAACATTTTTTCCCTTACTCCTTGCTTATAAGAGTGTTTAAGACTCTGGAGTTTATCAGTTAGGTACACAATTCCTGCT